AACCTTGTACATATTCCCATGAGGTCCTACAACGCGCTGACCCAGGTTTGTCGGCGCCGTTTTGACACAAACGAACATTGGCACCTCCCAGGGACATATTGATTACCTTTAACAGAGACGAATGTCGGCCCACGTAGCAGGAGACATGTTCGCGGAATGGGCAATCAATCGTGTGGCAACGGTCTGTAGCTATGCCCTAACGCCGGCTAGTGCAAGCGTCACGCGGAATCAGAGTGAACAAGCGCTCAAAAGCGCTCAAACGCTGCCCCGTACGTTGTCACCTACCACAGTGAGACTTCGCAGCTGCGCTCTGGTACAGCATGTGGGTACTCGAGAGCTTCGCGCTCACACTGCAGGGCTGATATTAGCGACTGGATATAGGCGCAGTATGGGCACAACTTGGCAATCGGGCTAAGTAGTAAACGCTCGCTCCGCGTGAGCGAGCGCTGGCAATACGAGACGTTTCTCGTTACCGGGCCATCCGCTCCAGGTCAATACCGCCGGCCGATGACTTTGCAGGCAAAGTGCAGCGGCTTAGTTATCTAGGACTACTGGCGGCAGAAGTCTCCCGCGCCGCGGCAGAGCTGCTATTGCTGTATAACATCGATGCATCCGCGCTGACGGGAGGCTGCGGAATGCACGATCCTCCTCGCTGTGAAAATGTCCGACTTCAGTAACTGGACAGTTGCTTACGATTCTCGTGTTATCACGAGCGGTTGGAGTAAGTTGCGGAAAACTCGTATCGGAAAGGCCCGGGCTTGCTGACTCGTGCTGGCTTCGTGTCTTGCAGCAGCAGCAGTTGCATTTTCTATATACGACTGGAGTGAGTAGTCTTTTGCTGCACTCCAAGCAGCTGCTTACACTGCTATTTTAGTCTTAACCTTCGCTGACGAGGCAAGTCAGACCATGGTGCCGCCTACTGTGTATCCTGACACGTGTCAGATGAACTTTGTTTGGCTACACGGCAATTGGTCAACCCGATTCTTGTACGCCTCTGTAAGCAGCACAGCTACATTCCGAGTCTATTAGTATTTTTGTTACCCATGAAGCGTTGAAAATCAGTGTCGTTATGGGTCGTGAGTTATTTCGATCGCTCCGCAAGTGAACCAGCTCAATAGGTCTTTGCAGGCTAGTAATCCTAATGTATGACCGACCCTTTCTCAAAACTGACCTCCGGAGCATTACTGACCGTCCAACTCTTAGCATAGCAACTGTTTGTTGTATGTCAAACCGGCCCTTATCTGGCTCGCAGAGTCTAACTCAAACTAGTGTGGGAGGGCATTGCCATAACGGATGAGGTACGCCCTGAACTAGTTAAACAGTGACTCGGAGGTCTTACACTGGAATATCAATAGATGTAGGATCGGTGTTCTCGATATTGCCGTCTCGCTGCTTACTGTTAGTTCTGAGCAGGTGTACAGCCTGTTCGGACTCCATCCCTTACACCATCATGGTGCTCTACGGGCTGTCTGCTAGTGAGAGCCATATGTTGCCATGTCTGAGCGGTATTTACACTAGTGAATAGCCGTGCTTATCCTCCGTATCAACGCACTATATCGCTGCAACAGGAAACTTCGCTTCACACTGTTTCTGCTACTGATTGGTATGATGGTATTCTTCACGGTACTTTTTGCAGTAATCACGGTGAAAACTGGTCATACCCTTCATACCGAGTCATTGCTATGTAAGCTTACCTCTTCGATTTTTCGCAGTGCCTGCAGGCGAGAACAGCCGTTGCTTCGACGTCAACGTCCTGACTCACTGGTTGTGGTCATTTTGGCTCCCAAAGATTTTATTCGAGAGTCTGCTCTTTGCTCTCGTCTTGGGGAGAACCATCGCTGCGATTCTGCGCCCGCGAGACAATCTTTCCCCTCTGGAGTGGCTAATACTGCGCGACTCTGCTTTCGCGTGCGCTGGTAGCTTTACTTTTGCCGTTATAAACCTAGCGCTGTGGCGTGTGAACACGGTAGGCCCGCAGGATGCTTTTGGAAAATATCATTCGCTGACATTTGAGAATGCAGCACTCCTTTTCACATGTGTTCCCCGGGTAACTCTCCTCTCTGTCGTTGACGGTCCGCAGGAAATTTATTTTTTTAAGCAGGGCGGGGCAAGCTATCGACTCCGTGATAGGCTGCCGTCTACTCGTGAGTAAATATCTGCCTCCTTCTCGTCAACAATTCGATCATGCCTCTGTACAGCTAAACCTCCATGCATACGCAGGCCATGAACGCGGGCGGCTCGTGCATGGCGGCGGTGTGGTCTGCATACGATCGCCTGAGGATCTGGAACGGGTACAATTAGCTGCCGAAGGACATCTCACAGATACCACCTAACGGTTTACCCAACTTATGTATTCAGTATGTAGTATGATCACACTAGTACCAGCTTCGGCGGCGGCGG